GCCTGATGTTTATATGATTGAAAAGCCTCTCATCCATCATTGTGAATATTCAGACAGTAAAAACTTACTCAACAAAATGAGCTCTCTGGAGAGCTCCACCTATTATGGTTTGCTTGTGCATCAGTAATTTCTGCTGAAAGTGATGATTAGAACTGGTAAACAGTTTATTAAATATCGATATAAGAATAAATGAAACAGAACTTAAATCAGATCCTGTATGGCAAATAACATTTTTGCAACAACAAAGGTATAGTAAATGAGGTTTAAAGGAAATTAAATCAGAATTATAGCAAGTATAATTTGTTACAGTATCAAACTTCTATATAGATTTTATATCTCATTGTGAGAAAATAACCAATATCCTATTTCAGTTAAGTAACATTGAGCACTCACGGATGCTTCAGAATAGAATATAAAGCAGAACGTCCTCAAAGTTTGATATTAAACAGACTGTAGATGGGCGTATTTGTTTCTACCTCATGGGCTGTTTCATTCTGTCTTTTCAGTTGGCTGTATGCTTGAATAAACCAGACCCGTAATCTTTAAGCTGTTCTCACGCTCAGAATTTCAGGTTGTTTTACTATGGTGTAGCTAAGACTTACTCCTTACTATAAGAAAGCCTGACAGCAATGGGATTTAAAGGGTTTTTTTTTTAGGTGGGGGCTGCAAGTGGTCTAGTTCATGGATACTTTTTTTTAGATGCGATAGATAGTCCCATCGCCTTTATTTTACTAATTAAAATGATCCTAAATACTTTGAAAATTAAAATACATAGCTATAAGAACAGGGTCCGACTTCTGCTTTTTAACTAACAGATGTGAATCCTCCTGAAATTTCAGACACGTGCCTGTGCTCTGCAAGTTTTATCTGCCATCTTGGAAGGTTCAAAGCAGTTTCTTTCTGTTGCTGAAGATACCAGTGACCACAGAAGGGCTTTTACTCCGTTCTCCGTAATGATCGCTTCCAGCGTTAGAGAGTTACACAGAAGTCTTTTGTTAGCTTTGGTGGCAGAGTCATCATCACAAACCCTTACTCAGATCATTAAGGTAAATGTGTCAAGTTATCTGCGTTCCAAAGGAGTGTCTCTGTTTTAATTTTGTATAATGTTTTACATTGTCCAAAAGTAACTTGATTTAAGAATATAAATAAGTAGTAATTTTATTAAAGATATCCTGTTTGGTTGTCTGTCCCTACTTGTCTGATCCTACTTAGAACCTCTGTATGTCCAAATAAGTGATTTATTAAAAATAC